GCAATATAGGTACATTAAAATATTATATTGATTATATATTTATTTATAAATATTTAATAACTTTTATTAATAATAATAACTTTTTTTTATAGTAGGTAAAATATTATAAATACTGCATTATAAAATGGTTAAAGACTAAAGTAGACCTCGTTTTACTTGAATTAAATAACAATTTATTGGTTCTCATGAAATTACTACCTATTGGCATTTATTATATTATATATTACGTATGACTGTATGAGTACGTGTAATGGGTAGGTACTAGGTACCCTACCTTTACTTAAACAGTTAACATTATAAGAATATGTACTAATTATACCCAATTTATATCAAAAACTGAAAAGTACCCAGGTATAATGCATAAAAGTATTCCATACTTATAGAATTGGTATGAAAAAAACATTATATAACTATATAACTATATATATATGGTAGCCCAGGTAAAGTAATAGTACGAATACTGATGAAACCTTTAGTATGATTTACCGGTAATTTGAATTTCGGACATTTACAGATTGATTTCTAATCTAGGCACACAAAATAATTTAGTCAAACACCGATTTTTGTAGTTTTGTCTTTTACAAACGAGATTTGACAAATATTAGGATAAACAATCAGTGCTGGTGAAAATCCGAAGTTTTTTATCAATAGTGTGATATTTCTCTTCTTGCTCTATACTCGTATATATAATAAAAATAGTAAAATACTATATATTATTAATTATATTTTAACTTAAAACAAATTATTTACAATTTAATAATGATTAATTATTATAATATTATTCCATATATTATTGTTATTCCTCATTAACTATGCTATTAGTAAATACCAATGTACCTTAGAGGGTTCTGGTAAAAGTGAATCGAAAAAAAAACTAAAATAGTGGAAAATTTCAAATAGGCTATAAATAGCTTAAAATGAGCCAAAATATATATCATGTCTATTGTCTAGAGTATGCAAATATAAATATTTCGAAAAAATTCAAAGCAACTATTGGTTTGAATTAAAACAAAATTGATTTTATCAAAAAACAGTGTTGAGTTAAAATATTCCTGTTTTCCGTAAATTTTTAATAGTCTTTAACTCGAGTTGAATTAAAGTTATTAAATTATATAATAAACCCGACACAAACAAATACCTATACATACCTATAATTTACCCGATTGTTTAAAGTGAGAAATGTTGTGTGAATTTTGACAACCTTTTCCCACAACCCAAAATACAAGCTAGATCCAATTTTATACTAGACACCTCAAACCCCTCTAAAAGTTTATGATTGAAGCATTGTTGCTCTACTAAAAGTCGATGATAGACAAAAAAAAGAACACATCGATACGTAACTATTACATTCATCATACAGAGTCTAAAATTACATTAAGGCATTAAATTATTTTTTTTTCTTTCTTAATAATATACACTATCTATACACAATAAGGCAAAATAAGAGTATGGGCTATAATACAAAAGGAAGAAAAAACTTGAATGAAGAAGCCACCCACTGATGACACTTTCGTCTTTCAAGCATATTCTTAAACTTTTGATATAATTGTAATTAGTTATACTTTAGGTAGGTAGGTATACTTCATATAATTTTCAACTTGTATAAAGTCCGTAACTGTTTAGTTTCAGCAATATAGGTACATTAAAATATTATATTGATTATATATTTATTTAAACATTTTAGATTCTGAGTGGAACGATGAATGTATTGATTTTACAATGATGTGTGTTTTTTTTTAATTTTTTTAATTTTTTTTTTGTGTCTGTCTGCTGTCATCACTTTTTAGGACAGTAAACGTGCTTGAATTTTCTTCAACAGTATCTTTTCTGATAGGAAAGTGAATATCGTTGGTGCATTGAGGAGGTCAAAATTTAAAATTCAAAGTAATTTTCAACAGCGCCAAGAAAAACCAAAGAAAAATTAAGGAAAAACAGGAATTTTTACGCAAAATCGAATTTGGTTTTTGGTGTAACTTTAAAACAAATGACCATACATAGATACATGAAACTTTCACTGGTTGTTTATATTTGCATTTTCTATACACTGTAACATTTTCAAAATATTTTGATTTATTTTGAACTGTTAAGGGACATTTTCATTTTCCATTTTTTTCTAAAAATATCAATCACATTTTATTTGTTGGTTAATAAGGCTTGAAAATTTAATAGATGGCTCTAAGTATATTAATTCAAAGGCAAATGAAAAATATTAAAAATCTTTAGTCACAGTTTTTTTTATAAGCATTTAAAGTTCAAAAATTGACAAAATATGGAAAAATCATGAAAATTAGTAAATTATTTTGAGTTAAGAATTCGTAAAAATTTTTCTTTTTAAATCTAAGATATGAAAATGTAATACAAGATTCCTCATAAGGTTGTCTAATTACATCAAAAAAAAAAATGTCTACAAGAAACTTAAATTAAATTTTTATGACCGTTTGAAATTCATATTTTTACAACATTTGATATTCACTCGATTTCTCATGTAACGATTTTCTAATTTTGTTGTAATTAAAAAACGAATGACTATAGATACTTGAAAATTTCACTAAATGTTTAAATTAGTATTTCCTATACACCATATAATTTTGAAAATATTTTGACTCTTTTTGAGCTGTTTACAGACATTGTCAATAAATTATTATTTGTTAGGTAAAAAAGGGAGAAAATTTAATGCTAGGCTCCTGATATATTTTTACAATAGCACTTGAAAAATATTAAAAATATATAGGCAAAATTTTTTTTATAAGCATTTAAAGTTCAAATTTTGACAAAATTTATCACATTTAAAATTTAATAATAATTTTGTAGTTAAAAATGTATAAAATGTTCAACTTTTATAGCTTATGATTGAAAATTTAAAACAAGGTTCCACGTAAATAGGTTAAAAATAAATTACTTTATTCACCTTAGTATCATCAAATATACTTCGTAATATCATAGGCTGAATAACCATTTTCGCTCAGAGTCGTTTTTCTTATACAATGATATTATATCATTGAATTCAAATTTATTACCATCCATTATACAGTGACCCACTTTTTTTTTTGAAATTCAGTATAATAATGTCTTATTTTAATTTTTGATACTTATTAAAATCTTAAATACACAAAGTTAAATATATTGTCCTTCCATGTATTTTTAAATGTTCATTAGTTTTTATGAGATATATTTATTAAGTCCACAAATAGATAGAAATACATTCTGATCGATATTTGTAAATCAAAGGATTTTAATAATTTCAATACTTAAGTTTTAGTCTTTAGACACAAAATATTAATATGTGTAATGTACTGAATACATTTCTATTCACCTTCGGAGTTAAAATAACATGTTTGTCCTCTACATTTTGATACTATGCATTATGAATTACTACTATTACAAATTTACAACATATATTTTTGGAAGCTGTGTTGCAGGTAGTAACAGTTTAGTAGCATGGCCTAATTTAACTATACCTACAATAAAATGAAATACAGTACACACTTGTACAGTTATTTCACACTTTTATAGACTTTGTTTATGTATGAAAGTATGAAAAAATAAAAATATAAGTATAAATATTATACTGAATAGTAAATAATAATATATAAGCATCATAGTATTTACGTAAAATAATATAATGTTAATAACACATTTTATAGTAAAACGTTATATTGATCTCATCAGTACCTACCTAACTATATACCTTTACGGCTCTACCAGTCTACCCCTCAGGTGTGCTCGACAAATACACGACAACCCACACACACACACTCACAATCACCAGTACTATAGATTGAACCAATGGAGGTAAACCAATACGCGCTGTGTGATGCCAGCCAACTTTTACGATCCAATTATTACAAAAGTTTCCCGGCAGAAAAACGGCAAAGTTTCTTGCCAGTCTGCCAACTCCGTCGGTGTCTTATTATATACCTATATCGCGAACAGCATGCGATGCCGCAGCAGCAGCCATAGCATAAAGCACAAACTTAACGATGCGCAGTACGTTAAAATGTTATGACCAGCCAGCATACATATAGTATAGAGGTATCTATATATACGAGTACTGAGTACTGAGTAGATATACGACGGAGGCACATTACATCATGCATACGTATATATATTATTATAATATGTCAAAAGGCGCACGTCGGTTTTAATTGATGGGCCTCGCAGGTATTGAATGGAGTCGTGCTCTCCTCCCCCCGGGCCCGCTTTTCATTGACCCATATTCGCGGTGTACGTCAGTTTTCCGAGTACGCACACCCTCGCGTTTTACTACGTTATGCACACCACGCGCACCACCTCTCACGAGCAGCACCAGTAGTAGAAGTTGTAGTAGTAGTATTAGTAGTAGTAGTAGTATTGGTCCAAGGGTAGCAACATTATATATATATATATATACATACATATTGTGTACACTTTTCCAGACGTTGCCAACGTCGGAGCGACAGATTTACACACACGGTTTTACGAGTAAACACCGTAAATTATGATACAACTACTATACAATCCTCGACCTCGCGGTGGTGTGTTGTAGATTTGTTTCGTTCACGGCTCGTGTATACTATATTGTTATGTATTATTATTATGCAGTTGACGGCATCGTACGTCGAACAACAATATTATAATATTCGTACAAAACTCTGAAACCCTCCACGGGTGCGTTCGTGTGCCGAAGCGCACGGCAATAGCAATATATCGTACGGGCACGATAAATACCGTACGGGGGTCGTGTCTGTACGCAAGCGTACAGTCCCTGTGTAAAACGGAGCACTGTTGGATGGGCGTCCTGGAAAAATCATTTTTCCACGGTGCGTACACGCTCCCCGGCAGGTCGACGGTATAGCGTTTTATGTTTTCGTCATCCGCGTTAAAGATAAAATCGCCGTTACGGGAAAACAAATGACGCGTATGTAACAGACATCACCTGCAGCTACTGCTCGCATAATATGATTATAGCCGCACCGACTCAGTGCGATGTATACATACGACTAGACGAATAATCGTTGCAAATGTGTGACAGAGACTCAAGTTCGGGATGCTTCTTCATATCGAGAAAGGTCGGTGATGATGCTATATAATATGTATATGTAATATGTATGTATAATCGTTTTGCACGTATATCATATACGGCGTATGCAATTATATCGTACAAACGTATGAATCGCGTAAACGACACGTTCGACACAACCCTATATCATATGACATTATATACATATTACTGAGGTCAAAGAGAGATCAAAGATAGAATAGGTAGAACTATTCGTCACAAAATAAGGTCAAACATTACGATTGGTCTACCCAAAATTATTACCATTAGTTATTAGTTAGGTTTAGTAAATATAAATTATTTATAATATACGAATAAACGATAATAAATATGAGTTGAGGTCATAGTTAACACACATTTAAAATATAATATGCTATTAGTTCGATGTATTTATACAAATATCATTCAACATTTTAAGAATAATAAGTAGGTATACCACGCGTTAAATTTATGTTTTTTTTTAGGGCCGTGATCGAGCTCAAGACTTGGCCACAACATCCAGACATGGCCAACAGCCATTGCCCGCTGGGACAAAAACTAAAGATGCACTGCCAGTGGTCTTACAGAGTGATTTTCGAAAAGTAATTCAATTTTAAGATTTAATATATTTAAAATTTACTATTTAATATTCACAACAGTATTTATAAGTATTCATTTTTAATTTTTAGTTAAGTGGAATTAGTAAAGAAGATTTTCGATTAATCGACACCATTGAAAATGAGTATGATGCAACTACAGCAGCGGCACTTGATGCAGTACAACGTAGAGGTGAAATGGTTGTCCGAATACTGGACCCGAGAATTCACCTCACTAAAACTGCTACAGATGCGGCTAAAAAATTTCTCATGCTTCAAGTAAGTTAAAAGTGTATTTATTAAAAGATTATAAATATTAATTTATAACATGATTTAAATGTTATTGTAGGATTCTAACCATATAGTGAATCTAGTTGAGATAATAAAGAGACCTGGACAGACTTTAGGGTTGTACATCCGGGAAGGTAACGGTATAAATCGTCACGATGGTCTATTCATTTCTAGATTAGCTATAGAGTCGGCAGTATATAATAGTGGATGCATACAGGTAAACAATCTTACAATTAATATAAAATAAATAACTTAACATATTATACTAAAAAAAAAATTAAATAAAAATATATTATATTTTATATTATAAAATATAAATAGACGTGTTTTTAATTTTTATAATATTTAGGTTGGCGATGAAGTATTAGCTGTAAACCTAGTTGACGTTACAAGAAAAGCCGTAGACGAGGTTGTGATAATTATGTCAATACCTAGACGACTGGTATTAGCTTTAAGACAAACAAGAGGTATTCATCGAGCTTCAGTCAATGCTTCATTGGCTTCTGCCATGCCTAGTCATCAACCTCCCGTTGTTGTGATTAAAAAGGATCTTAGTAGAGAATCAGATGACCAACATGATGATGACGATGATGATATGCATATGAAATCATATATGACTACAGGGTAAGAATATTTAAAATATTACTATATGTAGTATACCGTGTGTTCAATTTTAAAGGTAACAGGAAATATTTCGATCGAGTGACATTGAATTTGAATCGAGGTTATTATACTGCATATAGGACTTATAAATACATATTTTTTTAATGAATTCAAATTTTTAATTTTTTTTTATCAGCGCATGCGCAGTAAAATAAAAATTTCTTAAATAGCAACCACTATTTTGGAGACCGGATTTCGATTTCTTTATTTTTTCTGAACAACTTTGATCTTTACAGTTTGTTGATATCTTCAAAATTGCCATGTTTATGACGGTCGGAAGTTTTAAAATAGTTAATTTGTAAATATTGCATTTTTCAACGGTCTATCTTAATTTATAGGTATTTATAGGTATTATTATAACAATTAATTTTTATTAAAACTACTAATTTATCTACTACTATTATCTTAATTTGTTTTAATAGTATTATAATGAAAGTTATACTATTAACCTGTGTGAATAAGATATTTTGATAGCATTCTAAAATTGATTGTGAATAGTCAAACGTTTTTCGTAAGTCGCGCGTGACACATTATTTTCTGTACAATGGCAAACTATTCCGAAAAAACCGATATGGTATTAATTTTTGGAGAATGTCATCAAAATTCGCGTCAAAAAAATTGTAATGATTCCCACTACACCGCTGTTGCTTTTTTTAGTACATTATTGTAGCGCTACCTAAAAATTAATAATATAAAATTATACTCATTTATGGATGCCGGCGGTCGCAAAACTATACAATTTGAGAAATATAGATGACCGCCGGCGGTCACATGGCAATCAACGTTTTTTTAGTTTAAAGTAAATATTATATACATATGTGGAGCAAAAATAACTAAAAGTATATATTTAAAGGGACAATAAAATTGAATCATAATTTTTATTAATATTATTAATAAGCTATAATAATATAATATCAAAGTAGATAATTAATATATTATAATAACAGTTAATTAAAATTAATTATGAAACAAACACATTAAACAAACCAATTATTTAGTGCATTAATTAATAATTTATATTTGTCGAGACTAACCAGATAAGTCACAATTTAGTGATTCCTAATATATTTATAAAATAATATAACGTAGGTTAAAATATAATGTACTCTATAATAAGGTTATATAAAAATTAAACAAAGATTAAATATAACAGTAGAGTAAATCAAAGAAATAAAGAAAACATGCACGAACAACGACGAAGAGAATCTAGAGGAAGATCACAATCTCAACTTGCCTTGGATTCAAATGGCGATATTTCTGGAGATCTCTACTACAATTCACGACCTCCGGAATCAAGAAGACAAGCATCTACGGTATGCATGTCAACTTTTCTGTGATTAACTAAAAATAATTTACTATATTCTAAAACTTACATTATTTTTCAGTTGGATCGTCGTAATAATTGGTCGTATCAGCCTCCTCATCCTCCAGTTTCTAATGAACAACCCAAACCTCAGCATTTTCAGCCATTCGATAAAGCATATCCTAAAACTTTAGAATCATTAGCCGAAAAGGTACATCCATTTTGTCCAGGTGGACAATCCTCCACTGGCAGAAGAATGTCAGCAACAACTACACAGCAACAATATCGCCGTAATAATATTCCAAGATCTGGTTCAGATCAGTATCTACCTAGATCTGAGTATGATTATGGAAACAGTAAGTGAATAAAAAAAAAACTGTGTTTAGTTCAATGTTCATACATACTTCCAAATACATATTAATATCGTTTTAGGACCATATCGACAATCGCAAACGCTAATGAGATCCGGACTTAGAAGTAGTGCTGGCGCTGGATCCGGTACACGTTTAGTTTCACAATACTCGCAAGGTTCGTCTAGAACATTACCAAGACACCTAGATTATGCATCAGACACCGAAGCAACCAAAGTAACGTCAACATCTCCATATTACTATAGAGGTTCTTCGCAAATATCAGGTTTGATCTAAATTTAAAATAACAATTTAATAATATTAAATTAATTTTAAATTAATATTTATAGGTGTTTCAAATATGTCGAGATTGCAGGGCAGTTCCACAATATCTAGAAGTAATTCTTTAAGATCAAATTCACTTCCAAGAGATATTCGTACCCCACGAACCCCACTTTCATCTCTTAACACGAGGTTCGAGACATTGTATTTTTTATTACTTGTTAATATGATACATTTACATGTATTTAAATTTAAAATATTATTATCAAATTATAATATGTATTTAACAGCTTGAGAGGTAGTTTGAGGCGATACAATACACAGGACAATCCTAAAATATCATCTTCTCTGTTAAGTGATCATGAAGATAGTGACGGTAATCTTAGTGCTCCCGAGTTTCAAATGAGGCGCAAAAATCGATTAGTTAGCTCTCCTAGTGTATTTACAGCTGATGAATACAGAGCATGGATGAGTAGAGCACCATCGACTAGTGCTATTTATGATCGTATACGTAACGTTTGCGATCCATCATTAAAACAACAAAAAGTACAAAGATTCACATTTAGCGCTGAAAACCTACCAGAAAGAACTAGGCATTCGGAATTGATGAGTTATTCCGGAACTAATGCAGATTTAAGACCATTTAGAGGTCTTGGATCTCCAGCATTACCTTCAGCAACAACATCGACATTAGACAGACATACTAGAACGTCGTCATTAAGAAGAATTCGACATCTTTTAGAACTTGAAGCTAAACATTTAGGTCGACGTAGTCCATCGTCCACTTCAGATTTACAAGCCGATAGAGCTAGAGTATTGGAAATTAATCCAGCTGGTAAATTTTTAAGAGTAAAAATTTTCTTGTAATTCATATTTTATTCAAGTTATATATATATTTATTTTTTCGAAAATAGAGTTCTTAAAATATAAGTTTGAAAAAACTACAATAGACAATGCCCCGCCTATAAGTGGTTTATTATGGGTGCATCTACTGGCTGGCAGAGGTCTCAGAGCGACTCCCACTACCGTATTACCAGGTCAACCTACAAATGGTTTGTATAATTTATATACCTACCTAGTTATGTAAATTAGAACATTATTTATAAAAAACAATTCTTATAGTTATGGCGGCCACTGGTAGTTCGAGAGACTTGTATTGTGTTTTGGAGTGCGATCGCGTGCACAAAGCCAGAACTGTGGTGCGCACTGGTGATCTTGTATTTGATTGGGATGAAACATTCGAATTAGATCTACTATCAAATAAAGAATTAGACTTTTTAATATACTCATGGGACCAACAATATAGGCACAAGTTATGCTACAAAGGATCTGTACATCTGGCGTCTTTAGTTAGAGATAGTCCCGTACATCAATTAGCTTTAAAAATTGAACCTCGGGGTACATTATATTTAAGGTTAAGGCACACCGATCCCTACCAGACTTTCATCAGAAAAACTTTAAGAACTTCAACCACACTACCACCGAGAACGAAAACTGCTGGACTGTTTGGTATGTACCTTAATAAATTACTAATCTCATAACGTTCGATACTGTTATTATAGCTTGAAAACTGATTCTAAACTATATTTAATAAAATTTAAAGGTATTGATCTCGAGTCAGTAGTCACTCGTGAAAGTGGCGCAATTTCCAGTTCTTTATCTTCATTAGCACAAGCACCAGCCACAGCATCCGTACCAGTTATTGTTCGGAGGTGTATTGAAGAGGTCGAACGTAGGGGCTTAGACATTATTGGCCTTTATCGACTTTGTGGGTCCGCTTCTAAGAAACGGATTCTTCGAGAAGCTTTCGAACGTAATCCGAGAACTGTGGATTTATCGCCGGACAATGTGCCTGATATTAACGTAATCACAGGTAAATACAGCAACAATTTAATAATTATAAAACTATTTATTTCTAATATTTTTCGATTTTAGGTGTCTTAAAAGACTATTTGAGAGAACTTCCCGAACCACTCTTCACTCGTTGTCTATACCAAATGCTTCTTGATGCACTGACGGTATTGTTGCCAGACGATCCACAGGCCAACGCCAAATTGATGTTATCGATTTTAGATTGCCTGCCAAAATTGAATAGAGTAAGTCATATTATATATTTAAACTCGGTGATAATAGAAATGTAAAGACAATAACTTATTTAATTATCATTAAAAATGTGTTTTATTTTCTTACAAAGGCTACGTTGACATATATTATGGACCATCTGGCACTTGTCGTGTCGCAATCCCCGAGAAACAAGATGTCAGCACAAAATTTGTCTATATGTCTAGCTCCTGTATTAATGGTCCAAAGCGAGGCGAAAGAAAAACCTATCGATTTCCAACAGCCCGTGAACGTGTTACGATATTTATTAGAGATTTGGCCACCTAAATCAGGTTAGGACAAGTTTATTTATACGGATTCCGTTAAAAATCACACAAAAAAACCTGCAAACAATGCCCATTTCGATCGTGCTGTGCGAATGTCTGTGGTTTAGTACATTGGTTCAAATCCAACCGTGCGTATAATGTATATATAATATTATATACCTACCTACATACATACCGACATAGTCATCATAGGTGGAGCTATGGGGCGTGCAGAGTATGCAACTTCATTCCCTAATATTTGATAAAAAAAAAGCTGCCTTAAATTAGGGTTTAAGAGCCACTAAGCCTAACTAAATCTTTTTAAAACTAAATATATGAGTATAAGTATATGGCTTTTTCTTTTAAAAATGGGTACCATTTTATATTTTTAAATACATATAATGATTTACGCAGTTTTTAAAAATATTAAATGTATGTCATCTTAGTGCATTTACTGGATACATAAATGCGTTTTAAACTATATTTTCTTTTAGATTTAATATCCATATTTGTAAACATATATAGTTTTATATCACTCGTTTTATGTATTCACAGCTCTATATACGAAAAAAAAATATTAGCTAGATATATACTAAATACCTAGTTGTTAGTAGATATAAATAATTATATTTCCTACTTTGAAAATCAAGCACAAGTATTTAAAATTCGTAGTGTCTAGAGCTTATCGCATTTTAACTTTAACGAATAATAGTGGAGTTATATTTTTGTCATACTATTAAGTTTTATGTAGATACAGATAATTTAAGTATATGATATCGTGAAAAGGGTTAAAAGCCTCCCACAAGTTGATATGCATTTTAAGATTCTGCTTACTCTGAACACAACTTCTGTTAGCTATGCATTTAGGTGTATTTGCCAGGAGTTCTTAACCAGTGGTCCATGGACGCCTTGGGGGTCCATAATGGTTACTCGGTGTATAATGTCTAATTACAAATGTGCATAATATTACGGTGGTACCTGGAAAAGTTTGACTCATAATGTTTATTGTTTATGATTAATGTTTAGGCGTATTTAATTTCATAAAAAAACGTATTAGACTATAAATTATTCTTATAAGTTATAAACTAACATACATAGCACTCGTTAAAATAATATTTTTTTAAAATTAACATTAAAACAAATATTAAATAGGTGAGTAATATTTTTTTAGATTCTGAGCGGAGCGAGGAAGCTAGTGGTTTTACAATCGTGTTTAAATTTTTATTTTTTTTATATCCTGTATACAACATTTCTACCAGAAGGAGTTCTTAAATTTCAACATATAGTACCCTATATTTTAGCAAATTGGATCAGGATGGTACTTTAGAGAGGTCATTTTTCGATTTTATCAATAGTTATTAAATGCCACAGTAAAAACCACCGAAAAATTACGAAAAACCGCTAAAAATTGGATTTTAATTTCCAACTCTTTATTTATTACCATAGAAACGAAAAAAAAATAATAATATTACAATATTAATTAAACTTACATGATATAATAATTAATGACAATATAAAATATACAGACTGACAAACCGTCTCCTCTCAGAATCGTTTTTCTTATACAATGATGGAATATCATTGAATTCAAGTTTAATACAATCCATTATACAATGACCCACTTGTAACCTACTGTACAGCAGAGCGACATCCGCTTACCCGCTTTTTTTCATTTTTTTTTTTTCATTACTCGTAATTTTTTTTTATTTATTATAAATATTTAATTACAATCTATACAACAACTGTACAATAAGTAACTTTGATTTAAGATATTTACTTAGCGAGACTGACAGATAAGGGAGGGCACTCCGTAAGGAACCTGATAGTAATAATTTAAAATTCAAAAATGTCGTGTTTTGGGTTTGGGGGAAGAGGTAGCTATAATATAATTATAGGTGGCTATAAACTGTACTGTAAAGGGGTCCAAGTGCAGAAAAGGTTAAGAACTCCTGCTATATGCGATAATCACATATTATATTTTCACCAGTATATTCAACAACATAATATCAGTAGATACCTACCTATAATATAATATTATTTATACGATCCTCTTTTTCCACGGGTTCGCGAGCATTGTGAACATTGATGAGCCCCGACCATATTTTCCAGACAGTTCGGGAGTGTTTGCCGCCGTCGGTCGTCAACGGCGTTACTCGGCCCCCGCCGCTGCCCGCGAAGCCATCCTGCGTGCCCGCTGTGCCAACAAGGCGCGCCCCGCCGCCCGTAATTGTAGCGTCGCCGACCAGTGACACGGCCACGTCTGACGAGGACGACGACGACAATGGCCACGGCCACGGCCACGACGGGACGGCCATCGAACCGCCACAGATACCGGCCAGGTCTAACGCGCACCGGCTGACCAAGGTGGCGGCGCCGGAGCCCGACGAGAACGCAGCAGAGACACCCAGCTCGTCCACCGGCACAGAAGACTCGCAGCGTGACGTGGCCGAGCGCGCCGCTGAGGCGGATGAAGAGAGTTGTGGCGAAGAACAACTGGAACGGAGACCACGAGGACTGCAGAATGCCAACACCGCCATCAAGCACAACGCTAATAATAATAATAATAGTAATAATAGTAATAATAATAATAACCGCCAATAATGTGGCGACATGTATTATAAATATTAGTGAAAAACGTTTGCCAACTTTCTACCAAGATAATAATAATATGTATATTTAGGCACGGGAGTTCCGTACAAATGATCTGTATTGGACAGACGATAATAATATTATTATCTTTTATGATATACTATGTTATTGTTATTTTTGTTGTTGTTGTTGTTGTTGTTGTTGTTGTTGTTGCTGTTATAGAAGAAACAATACATAATATGTATAATATTATTATTATCACCTTGAATTGATTTTTGTTTTAAAAAAAAAAAAAAAAACGAGAATTTTTACTCCTCGTGGTAGGTAGATGTTATACTACATATTACATAATATACTAGTATAACTGTATAAGGTCTGTGGTGTTACAGCAATATATCATAGAGTAGGTACCTGTATAATATGGAAAATTGATATTTGATACAACATTTCTTAAATATACATGTACATTCTAACGGTAGGAAATAATAACCATGCTGTAAAATAATTTTAAACATATTTCAAAAAAAAAATCCTAAAATTTTTAACAAAAAAAATAAAAACGACAATAAAATATAATACCGCGTAATATTATTATACTTTGTTATAGTATAACATTAATCATATTAGCAATATGTATATACAACACGACAACCATGCAAAAAAAAGTATTACGTTCATTAGGGTATTAACTGTTTTTCGTGTTTACTATCAAAAACATTCTATACTAACTCGTTCCTCGTCGCAAGGTAGATAAATAAATAAATAAGTTATATTTCAAGAATTTCAGAGTCATAAAATAAGTAATATAAATAATAGGATTTATTAAAAAAATGGTAGAAATTTGGCAAGCATAATTCCACATAATTTCATATTTACGCACAAATATATATAAACAAAATGATATATGTTTGAAAGAAAATTAAGCACAAAATAAAAAATTATAAATACCTACTGATCTAGATCACATGTTAATAAATATGATTTAAAAATGACTTTGTATAAATTAAAAAATAACATTAATTATTTCGGGCACCTTTTATAGACGATTAATATTTTATGAACATAAAAAGTAGTCGTTTACACGTAGATATTGTAAAAAATAGTCCATAACAACACAATCCCAAAAGCACTTGATTTCAGAACGATTTGATATTTTAAATGTTTTGATTTCAAACAAATGTAACGAAATAATTTATTGTAAATAAAAAAAATGGTTGTTCCTACTGCTTCAATGTAAAACTTAAATCAATAAAAAAAAATGATACATAGACTTTTTCACAATAATCAAATTAAAATAATTTACATGCACAAGAGTGTTTTCTGTTGAAGACATTTTCCAACAAATATGTATTAAGAATTTTTTAATTTTTAAAACAAAGCAGTTTTTTTAATTTGAAAAGCTGTTGCCTGTATGACTAATCTTATAACTCAACAAATGTCATTTATCATTTTACTTATTTCCTATGTACTTATATTTTATTTATAAAATAAAAATATTATGTATACATAATAAATTATGTATCATAATATATTTGTACCAAATAAATGTTGAGTGTCAATCGGTGTTTCAGTAAATGTATATAATTTAATCATTATATCAAGGTAGTAGGTACCTATTTAGTTTTATTAAAAAAATATATTCTATGTGGTGCATAATAAATGATTAATACCATAAATTGTACAACATATAGGTAATTCGTTTTAAAATATATATTTAACTAAATATCCATAGTAAAATATGGTGTTTTTTAGATGTATCAATGATGAATTCTAAATTAGTTAAATTTAAATGCCTACATTAAGTATTCTAATAAAACTGTTTCACTAATTTATTTTACAAGTTATATTTTATTATAGGTACTATTGTAACCTAAACTTTACTCAAAATAAAAACAAATACAAATATCTTGAAGAAAAAAATTAAATCTTTGTTCCAATTAATTTTTGATTTCATTTTTGAAATTATAACTCTAATAATATAAAAAAAGTGGGTTAGTAGGCAACCGCTTTGCTGTACTGGAGGTGTTCGGTGTACATTATCGTAATTGAGTAAGTCACTATAATATATGTGTTGAATTTGATTTCATTGATAAATTGCATATATTATAGAAAAACGATTCTAAGGGGAGGTGGTCTAAACTATCAGCTTATATTACTTTTACATCACGGCTGTAGCCTGTAGATAGTATGATTGTTGGGACTTGGGAGCACGTCATCCTAACGTCTATAAAGTAGGCGCTACACCATGTGGAACGAAATATTCAATAGTTCTTACTTCTTATCTAAAATACGAAAAGTGATGAGCTCTTCACGGATGTCTTATTTAATTCTGAATTAGGTACTTTACAATCTTAGATAATATACAATGAGTTAATATTTAATACCTATGGGCTATGGTCCAGAGTCTAAACTCAAACTTTACTTTAACATTGTTTTTTTTAAATTCAGCATTTCAGTATCTTCTTCGATTGGAAAGTGAATATCGTTGGTGCATTGGGGAGGTCAAAAGTTTATATTTGCATTTTCTATACACGATAACATTTTCAAAATATTTTGATTTATTTTGAACTGTTTAGGGACATTTTCATTTTTCATTTTTTTTTAGTTTATTTTCTAGAAATATCGATAAAATTTTATTTGTTCGTTAAAAAAACTTGAAAATTTAATAGAAGGCTCCTACTATATTGTTTCAAAGGCAGATGAAAAATATTAAAAATCGTTAGTCACAGTTTTTTTTTTATAAGCATTTAAAGTTCAAAAATTGACAAAATATGGAAAAATCACGAAAATTAGCTATTATTTTGAGTTAAGAATTCGTAAAAATTTTTCTTTTTAAATCTAAGATTTGAAAATGAAACACAAGATTCCTTATAAGATTATCTACCTTTATCAATAAAAAAATCTCTACCGGACAGTCAAATTAAATTTTTATGAGCGTTTGAAATTCAAATTTTTACAACATTTGATATTCACTCGATTACTCATGTAGCGATTTCTTTATTTTGTTGCAATTCAAAAACGAACAACTGTAGATACATGAAAATTTCACTGAATGTTTAAATTAGCATTTTCTATACACCATACAATTTTGAAAATATTTTGACTCTTTTTGAGCTGTTTATGGACATTTACAGCTTTCAATTTTTTTTAGTTTTTTTTTCTTTGAATATCAATAAAGTTTTATCTGTTGGGCCAAAAAGTGTAAAAATTTAATACAAGGCTCCTGATATATTGTTACAATATCAGTTGAAAAATATTAAAAATACATAGGCACAATTTTTTTTTATAAGCATTTAAACATCGAATTTTGACAGAATTTTTCAAAATCTCGAAATTTATTAATCATCGTAATTAATAAGTTATAAAATGTTCAGTTTTTATAGCTAAGGATTGAAAATTTAAAACAAGATTCCACGTAAGTAGTTAATTATCTTACCGAAAAATCTAAAAAATATACAATCACAGTTTATTTTTATAGTCATTTTATGTTCAAATTTGGACGAAATTTCATATTAAAAAACCTAGTTATTTTGTTGTGATTATATAATATTATTCGTGGGTACCGGGTACCTACTTGAAACTTCTAAAGTGTATTATTATATATCGATGATAGTATCAGGGTTTGTTATTGATGTTGATGTATAACGTGTTATAAATACCTAATGGATATTGTGATAATGTGATATGATTAATTTGGAATTTATTATAGGTCAATTTTTTTTTAATACCATAGATTTGTATATAATTTATCTTAAACCTAGACTGACATACCGTCTTCGCTCAGAATCGTTTTTCTTATACAATGATATTATATCATTGAATTCAAATTTAATAGCATCCATTATACAGTGACCCACTTGTAACCTACTGTACAGCAGAGCGACATCCACTTACCCACCTTTTTTAGTATAGTTATTTACTATTTACTTACTATTTACTGACGTATCCTCATTCTTCTTAGTTCTTATAACTATTATATTATGTATAATCCGTTCGTATAATAGGCATACTTGACGTATTATAATAATAATAATAATATATATGTACCAGTTGTACTTATACCATTATTATATTTCGACGAATATTGAAGGCCATATTTGGACATTTTATGTCACCGGCCAACATACATTTTTGAATTTTTGACCTGCAAACATTATTAAGAGGACGTTACACAGACATTTTGTTGTCTCCGTCTTACAATTGCGTAACATACCAAATTTTACGCTCAACAGATCACTATTAACTCCGCTAGGTTAAAAAATAGAGTGATTCACCTCTAAAAAAGTTTGAAGGTAATATCATTATCTAGGGCATCTCGTGGGCTTTTTATTATATTTTAATTTTAGAGCGAATTATGACTATTTTAAAATTTTAACTGGTTTGTACGTCTTAAAATACTCATAACTCGCTTTAAAATTAAAATACAACAAAAACCCTATAAGATGCTCTAGAGTCTAGAGTCTAGATAATAATCTTACTAACTGAGCTAAACATGTTCTGCCGAGCATACAATATGCTATGTTACGCACTTGTAAGACGGAGACAACAAATATCCGTGTAGCAGTACTGTACCTATTTTGCCTATACAATACGCCGGGCCACACATTATTTATGGACAAAGTATGTAAAAAAATTTATTTATATAATTATATACTCATCATTAGTATACTTATAAGTTATTAACGACGATGTTTAGCGTAATAGATAACCTAGATGATATAGGTATTACATATTTTACAATTTAATATTTTTGATTAAAATATAATTATAAAATTCAATATAAATTAGTTTTTATCAAGACTTAGTGTTAGATTCAAAACGTCTGTATGAACTAAGAAAGTTTAGGAGTTCGCACAGGTAAATGCGTTTTAAAAAGCATAAACTTTAAATTAATTATTAAGATATGTTGTACCTATTAGAAGTCGAAGAATGTATTCAGTATATTTCGACTAATAAATAAAATTGTACAATTGTACAATAGACTTCGATCTTGGGTTTCCATACACCGATCAAATTATTATACTGTGCCTTGGTTCGCTCTGTGCTTGATACGGATCTGGCCATAATTGGCCATAGTTATCTCTTGGAACGAGTACAGTGTAGGTTTTTGTACTTTGCTGGGCATGTTTAAAAATTGAACACCAGCCACATGATTATGCTCCAGTCCTTTTTGGCTCTACAATAGTCTTCGTTGGCTGACTGGAGAGTACAAGCTAATTTCACTTTTATTTCTAATTTACTGTCAGATAAAACTGACTCCCCTATAATCTCCTATCTTGTATTCATTTCAAAATCCCAACTTCAGCCACACATAATAACTATCCGTTTTATATTTCTGTTTGTAACACAAATTATGCTGCTAATAAGCCACTTGTAATATTGAGCATTGTAAAATGGCAATACTGAACCATCGCACTCTTCTAATTAGTTTACTGCATCTTAGTATACATATTTTCTGTTTGTTGTTCATTATTAATTTTTGCTGTTATAAATTATTTAATATTTTATGTACTTAAATGTTTCTTTTAATGTAACAATTGAACTATCAGCCTATACTTTCAAAAAATAAAAAAACAGTAATTTAAAGATTTTAAAATGTGTTTACAAAGTATAGGTATAGGTATTAGGTAATTTTTTTTCAAAACTTATTTTTTTGTATACAGATAAATCGGGTGACTGTTGTCTTAAACCAAAGTTTCATAATAGAAAGAAACTATAGAATAAAACGTCAAGTATAAATGTATTTCTTACTATAATAATAGGTATTATAATTATATATCCAGCGACGCGGTCGCGGCGTAGAGCTAAGTACAAAAAAAGAGCTCGTGACGACGGCGGCAGTACCTATATTACAAGAGACGGCCAACTAGTGATAATATTACGAAAAATGGTCTGACCTCTCTGTAGCCTTAACTAATGAACTGATTTTACATGAAATTTACACGAATTGGTCAGTATGCTATGTATGGCTATGTAGTATGTTTAATGATGTACCTATTTCAGTGCAAAATCTAATGTGTGGTTATGCCTATAGTTAATATATTATTGTACAACTACTGTCAAAACTGACATACCGTCAAAAAGTGATTTCCTAGTACAAAAATTAGGTATCAAGTTTTGTTCGGATTAGGATATTACAATACAAGTCAATAATTATGTAGAAAATATGGTATCGGTACATGCCGAACGTATACATATGGAGGTTTAATGATTCAAACCTAAACCGAAATGTTTTTAAACAATATTATTTTTGGACATGCAGTTATTATATTATATAAATATTATATTATTATTTTACCTATGTAAAATACAATTTTGAATTTTTTTAAATATTATTTTGAACCAACTATTTGACTATATTAACGTTCACACGTTCTAAACAATACATATATTATTATTTACAATTCTTATATGGTTTATATTATAACCGGCCATGTCGTATCCGCCGGTGTAATTCGTTATTTTATGATTTATTCCACAGTCATTCGTCACCTTTAGTGTTTTATGGCTTAAATATTTCTTGGAACATATTATAATATCCGTGTAGGTAGCGTTTATACTGCAGGTCTACGGTCGTTATACTCTGGATAATCGACTAATGAGCTTTTTTGTTTAAAATATAAATTTTAACGATTTTTTAGTTGTTAAATCTGTAAAAATTGATTATACACTCGACAAGACGAAAAAAAAAACAATATTTTTTGTTAACATCAAAATATGTTAATTATAAGAAGAGGGCCGAAAATAAGTGTCTAAATACCAAATGTCAAAACAGTAGGTGAAAACTAAAAAAGGTGCTCTGGTGTACAGTAGGTTACAAGTGGGTCACTGTATAATAGATGGTATTAAATTTGAATTCAATGATATAATACCATTGTATAAGAAAAACGATTCTGAACGGAGACCGTATGTCAGTCTAGGTATAAGACATATTATTATATACTTATCTATGGTAAAATTGACCTATAATAGGTACCTACCTATAATAAATTCCAAATTAATCATTTTTTTTTTTGATAAAGGTAATCTTATAAGGAATCTTGTATTACATATTACATTTTTACGAATTCTTAACTCTAAATAATTTGCTAATTTTCGTGATTTTTCCATATTTTGTCAATTTTTGAACTTTAAATGCTTATAAAAAAAAACTGTAACTAAGGATTTTTAATATTTTTCATCTGTCTTTGAAATAATATATTAGGAACCTTCTATTAATTTTTCAAGCTTTTTTACCCAACAAATAAAATGTTATTGATATTTATAGAAAAAAAACTAAAAACATTGGAAACTGAATATGTCCGTAAACAGCTCAAAATATTTAAAAGAATTATGAGAATAAAAACACCTATTAGCAATATATTGTATAAAAGAAGTATAAAAGGGAGTTCTGAATTATAAATGAGCCTATGCACGGCGTTGTTCGTCGGTAGAACACTAGTACCGAGAGTCTAGTTGGGTTTCGTTAGGTTAAGTGAGGTTTAGTGAGGTTTAGTGAGGTTTAATCTAACCTAACACTGCTAACGTTGTTGGCCGGTATTATTATTTAGATTTAAATAGTTTCGATAATGGCAGCGCCATCTAACGTCGAAAATGTTTAATACTAATTCGTTTTTGAAGAAATGGCCCTCGCATCTGCTTAATTTCCTAGTTAGATAGCGTTGTTATATACAATTTACAACACGGACATCATTTTAATATTTTTCATCTGCCTTTGAAACAATATACTATATAGGAGACCTTCATTAAATTTTCAAGCTTTTTTAACGAACAAATAAAATTGTATTGATATTTATAGAATATAAAACTAAAAAAATTGGAAACTGAAAATGTCCCTTAATAGCTCAAAATAAGTCAAAATATTTTTAAAAAAAGGCATGGTTTATAGAGAATGCTAATATAAACAGTCAGTAAAAATTTCATGTATCTATCGTCATTTGTTTTAAAGTTTTAATGCATAAATTATTTCACAAAATACATTTCAATCAAATGTATTTATAATATTATATTTAATACCTATATTACCTCCTGCAGATATTATATTGCAGCCTGCGCCTGCAATTACTTATCGCGTAATTGGCGGAATTTTGGATTTTTATTTTTTTTCCGGACCAGCACCTTCTGATGTTATTACTCAGTACCTACACTGAAATTATTGGCAGACCATTTTTACCACCGTATTGGTCTTTAGGTTTCCATTTGAGCCGGTAAAGAAACTATGTACATATTATTATATAGTAAGAATGTAAGTACTACTAAATTTTTTTTTTTTTTAGATATGGGCAGACTTTTGAAGATCTCATTCAAGTTTATAATAGAACCATAGAAGCTGGTATGCCTTGGGTATAATAATGATGTTTAATATAAAATCATTAGATAAATAGTTTAATAAGGCACTCAATTTATTATATAGGAATTATATTGTCCGAGACAATTTAACTTCTATAGCTAGTGATCTAGTAAAGTATATTTTTTTTATTAGAACGAACAAGAATATATACATGTATACAATCTGTAATAAAATGTACACAATAGGTATTATGGGGGATACAAATATACAGGACTGGACGGCATCATTGAAGGGGTGGGTGGGTCCAATTCATAATTCTAGGAAGTTTTTTTTTTTTTTATGAAGGTTGAGGAGAGTACCTTGTATCTTAGAACATATTATAATATGGATGGGGCACATATAAGCGGCAAGTCATGTATAATAATTGGGGATATCCCGAGTGCGTCCCGTTTTTAATTTTTACCTTTTTCATAGCCCGAGTGCGTCCGCAGTCTTATCGACAAATTATATTACAGTGCCCGAGTGCGTCATCGGTCTACAGCTGCTATAGGTACCTTTCTATTTAAGATATTTTAACACTGGAAACCGTGGGAAGTTAATTTTAGCTCCGATAATAATTTTGCATGATTACAAGTTAAAACTTACTCAGTTATGGTCAATAAGTGCTATAGTGACATTTGTGTGCGAAGTGTAGTGCCGTAAATCGTAATATTATATAATACAAATTGTCAATTTGCAAATTTTCAAAATGTCATTGCCCGAAAACATGCTAAGTCAACACGGTAAGGAAATAAAAATTATTGACGGGTATAAATTAAGATTTCATAAAATATTAAATAATAATGTAATACGATGGAATTGTACAAACAAAAAGTGTAAAGCATATTTGAAAACCGATGAAAGTGGAGATACTGTTATAGAGAATAAATTAGATCATAATGACCATGAAAAAGACGTACATGACATTATGGTTAGACAAGTTATTCGTAATTCATTAAAAAGAAAAGCACAGGATGAGATTTGTGAACGGCCACTTAAATTAATACATCATGAACTTAAGAAAATTAACACAGATACATTAAATAAAACTGATATGAATTGCTTTCTCAAAAGTATATATTTGGCAAGACGATCAAAACTACCAGCAAGACCATGTAATATTCAAAATGTACATGAAGTATTGGATTCGTTAGAAATCAAAACTTATGACGATGAACAATTTCTAATAAACAATATTTTTGGGGTGTAAGCCAGTTCACCTCCTCGTGGTGCACCCTGGGTAATTCTAAATGAACTGGGGACGCATTCGGGCTATGTAAAAAATATGACCTTTTTTTCTTGGGACGCACTCGGATGATACCTTACTTATTATGGACGCACTAGGAACATTAAAAAAGGGTCATTTCGGGACGCACTCGGGAATCTCCCTAATAATTAGATGCTTAATGTATGCAATTATTTGTTTGTAGACAGAGACAGAGACACGCATGCGGCTTAACAGTTAATCTAAAATTTGTACCTACATAACATTATATTCTACGGTACAATAATCAAATTTTATATAATGGGAAAATATGTATCAGTATTTTAGTGATGAAAATTGAAAGTTGTACATTGGTGGACAACCCTAGGGATAATTTTAGGGGGGGGGTGTATATAGGTCCATAGGCGCAAATTGACTAAATTTTTTGGGGGGACTCAAGCCCCCCTCAACAAAGGTCTTAATATAAGTAAAACAAATGTTGGAGGGAAACGCTCTCCATAAAATCCCCCACCCACTGAGCAACTATCGTTACGGATATATAAAAATACAAAGTATTACATTTTTAGAATATATTTATTTTAACAAAATTCTCCGTTCTTTTTCGGCAAATACATTTAAAATATCTTCTGTATTTATATTATTAGATAAATCCCTTATTCCAATAAATATTAAAATATAACCTAACAAGTATGAAGTAAGTAATAAACATATATTATCTTAGTCCGTGGACGTGGACCGTGATAACAAATAATAATTATTAATGATAACAAAATGCTCCGTTCAAAAATTGGGGCGTAAACCGTCGATTGTGGAGGTCAACAGCAACCACGGCATTATTCTTTGGCTATAGATACTATAGCCGTGATCGTGACACAGCCCTCATAGTTTATCACTAGGGCTCGGATTTAAATGCCCTAAAAATATCAAAAAAATGCCCTTTCAAAAAATGCATTTATGACCTAAAAACTCTAAAAAATGCCCTAAAAATATCAAAAAATGACGTTTCAAAAAATGCATTATTTATTAAATAAATTCAAATTTAATTATTATTAAAAAATGAGGAACAAAGTAAGTACCTTCGACGTAATACGCAACACGACTGAAAGCGTCTGACAATCGGCCACGCGCACCACCGATATAATATTATCGCTCGAAAAGAAAATAATCCGATAATATCGGCTAATTGGATGGTGTGACATAAAGGTTGTAAAAACCGGAAAACCTGATGTTAAATTAGTTAAAATAGTTCAAAATGAAAATAATTTTTATTACGTAGTACTATATTACTATGTAGTACTTATATTTCAATGAGGTCAATCTTTTTAGTCATAATACGACAAATAGGTCAAAAATGTCCTAAAAAATTAAAAAATGCATTTAAACCGTCAAAAAATGCTCTAAAAATGATGAAATCCTCTAAAAATGCAAAAAAAACAAAAAAATGCCCCAAAAAATTATTATGGTTGGATTGCGAAGTACTTGAAACATATTTGTAGCTTGGAAAGCATCGCGTAAGATATCCCAACTATTATATTAAATAATTGATAAATTATCAATTATAAATTACTTATCGGTTATCAATTATCTGTTTGACCACGAGGCACGGACTAAGATATGTTATATGGTTATATGTTGGTGCATTGGGGAGGTCAAAATTAATATTTCCCGGTAGTTTTCAAAAGCGCCCGGAAAAACAAAAGAAAAATTAAGGAAAAACGGGAATTTTTACGCAAAATTTGTTTTCGAAAAAATCGATTTTGGGTTTTGGTGTAACTTTAAAACAAATGACCCTAGATATATGAAATTTTCAGTGGTTGTTTATATTTGCATTTTCTATACACGATAACATTTTCAAAATATTTTGATTTATTTTGAACTGTTTAGGGACATTTTCATTTTCCATTTTTTTTTAGTTTTTTTTCTAAAAATATCAATAAAATTTTATTTGTTGGTTGCGAAAACTTGAAAATTTAATAGAAGGCTCCTAGTATATTGTTTCAGAGGCAGATGAAAAATTTTAAAAATCGTTAGTCACAGTTTTTTTTTCTAAGCATTTAAAGTTCAAAAATTGACAAAATATGGAAAAATCACGAAAATTAGCAAATTATTTTGAGTTAAGAATTCGTAAAAATTTTTCTTTTTAAATCTAAGTTTTGAAAATGTAATACAAGATTACTCATAAGTTTGTCTACCTTAATCAATAAAAAAATCTCTACCGGAATGTCAAATTAAATTTTTATAAGCGTTTGAAATTCAAATTTTTACAACATTGGATGTTCACTCGATTTCTCATGTAGCGATTTCCTTATTTTGTTGTTATTCATAATCATAAATGAATAACTATAGATACATGAAAATTTCACTCAATGTTTATATTAGCATTTCCTATACACCATACAATTTTGAAAATATTTTGACTCTTTTTGAGCTGTTTACGGATATTTTCATTTTTCAATTTTTTTAGTTTTTTTTTCTATGAATATCAATAAAGTTTTATCTGTTGGGCCAAAAAGTGTAAAAATTTAATACAAGGCTCCTGATATATTGTTACAATATCAGTTGAAAAATATTAAAAATACATAGACATAGTTTTTTTTTATAAGCATTTAAACATCGAATTTTGACAGAATTTTTAAAAATCTCGAAAATTATTAATCATCGTAATAAATTATAAAATGTTCAGTTTTTATAGCTAAGGATTTAAAATTTAAAACAAGATGCCACGTAAGTAGTTAATTCTCTTACCGAAAAATCTACAAAATATACAATCACAGTATATTTTTATAGTCATTTTATGTTCAAATTTGGACGAAATTACATATTAAAAAACCTAGTTATTTTGTTGTGATTATATAATATTATTCGTGGGTACCTACTTAAAACTTCTAAAGTGTACTATTGTATATCTATGATAGTATCAGGGTTTGTTATTGATGTTGATGTTAAACGTGTTATAAGTACCTAATGGATATTGTGATAATGTGATATGATTAATTTGAAATTTATTATAGGTCAATTTTTTTTTTAATACCATAGATATGTATACAATTTGTCTTAAACCTAGACTGACATACCGTCTTCGCTCAGAATCGTACCATTGAATTCAAATTTAATAGCATCCATTATACAGTGACCCACTTGTAACCTACTGTACAGCAGAGCGACATCCACTTACCCACCTTTTTTATATTGTGGATACCAGTGTACAGTGGTATTTACACTTGGTAAATAAATGTATTGGTATAATAAAATACCTAACTGATCCTATTCTTCACATTTTTTCTCCCTGCATACTGAAAATATATAATAGAGCTAGCTTAATAAAACCAGAAATTTATTTTATGGGTACCCCTCTCCACAATGTTTGTGTTATAATTTTATTAATTATTTTATTGTTGGACCACAAAACCACATCAAACATTGTTGGAAATTAAATATTAGTGCAATACATTTTTGTTCATACTGAAAAAATATAAAATATAATATATAATATAAAAAACTTAGGTATATCGGGCATCGGCGCTTATATTTGTTATTGGCAGGCCAAAGAAGGTGTTTTAAAAAAAAGTTGGTGCAAATGTATACCATGCAAACCCCCAAGTGACGCCTCTGCACTGAACTGTATACCATAGATATATAAGATATATTTATTTTAATATATTTTAATCTGTCTATGTGGGTATCACTGTGTTTAATGATAACCTTGTTGAACTTAATATACTGATAACCGGTAAAATAACCTAAAAAAAAAACAATGTTTTATCAAAATATCAAATACGAAAAGTTTCGAATTTATATTAATGTAATACTGTAGTCTGTATTTGAAATCAGTCGTTCCAATCGGTTTTATGGTCATTAGTCAATAGCCATTAACTTGTCCGATTCGTTCGAAATTCGAATTAAGATTTTTGTTATTGTATTAACTGTTGTCGATTTTTGAGTTCACTTCTCACAGTGGAATGGCTGCAGTATTGGATGACGTAAAGTCAAATGTATTAAAGAAGACTGAAGAAGTGTTCGACGATGACGAACAAGAAGAAGATGTTGAAGATGGACCGACGGTCACAAAGAAAAAGAGGAAACGAAGGAAGAAGAAGGCACAAACAAACGGTAAGCATTCAAAAACTTTTTTTTTAAATTTTTTACGTTTTACCATGTGTAATTTTTAGATGATGGGACAAATACAAAAGAAAAAGATGAAGTAGAAAAAGAAGTGACTAGTGGTGTAACCAATATTAATATGGACGATGAAGCCGAAGCCGAGAAAAAAAAGTCCAGACGCCGTGCAAAAAAGAAGGAAACCAAGGTCGAAGAACCAGAGTCAAAAGAAAAAAAGCAAACTGATCCTCCATCTGTCCCTATACACGAACTCTTTCCAACAAGTAATTAACCTTTCTTAAAAACAACTTTACTTTAAGTTTTATGGAGTATTCAAATTTGATTGTTTGTTAATTACTGTTTCTATTGAAATATTGAATGGCCTATGCAATATTCCATTCTTTAAGGCTTGACCAGTTAATTCATTTCTTCAAGTTTCTCTAAATTGTAGTCTTATTTTATTAAAAATCAAATTTTTGTACTCATCAATTTAAAATTAAGAATAATAATATTCATTAATCTTGTTAGCATAAATAATTAAAAACAAAAATGTTAGAACCTCATACCTAATCACTTGGTAAATTGAAGTGGTGTGATTTTTTTTAATCATGGTCCGATAGTTGTTTATCCTATAGTGTTCAAAGATAAGATTAATCTACTATAAACAATACAGGTATACAGGTTATTGTGGGACACAATATTTTACAAATTTAAAATGTTTGCCCAAGAAATTTATATTTTAAACTTGTAAATACTTGTGAAAACCGTGTATAAAGTATTTTATAGATATTACCTAATTATTATATGAACCATTATTTATATCTAGTGGGTCTGAAATTTAAATTATTAGGTATTGCTTACGAAAACATAATATTAATTATCAGAAAACAATATTGGAGATTAATACCTATTTTATTTTTTTATTTTTATCTTGTAACTAATTAATTAATATGTATTCACTATGTTATCATAGGTGAGTATCCTGTTGGACAAGAAGTTGAATATGATGGCCGTATGGGTAAACAGCGAATAACAAGTGAAGAGAAACGAGCAATAGAAAGTTCCAAGTATGATGATTACAATGATGCCAGGCGGGCAGCTGAAGCTCATAGACAAGTAAATTTATTTATTTATTATCTGTTATTCAATATTAACTGTGACGTATTAGGTACGAAAACATATTCAAAGCTGGGTAAAACCTGGAATGACTATGATTGAAATTTGTGAAGAGTTAGAGCGATGTTCTAGAGCTTTAATTGGAGAAGATGGACTTAAAGCTGGTCTAGCATTCCCCACAGGATGCTCAAGAAATAACTGTGCTGCACATTATACTCCTAATGCGGGTGATCCTACAGTCTTATTATATGATGACGTTACCAAAATTGATTTCGGCACGCACGTGAATGGTGAATTTGATGTTTTCTTCTCTTTTGAATTCAATGCTTAATTATTTTATTTTTAGGTCGTATAATTGATTGTGCGTTTACTTTGACTTTCAATCCCAAATATGATAAGCTTGTAGAAGCTGTGAGGGATGCAACTAATACAGGAATAAAAGTAAACTCTGAAGATTAACATTTAGGTATTATAAAAAATAACTTATTGACAATTTAATTGTTAGGCTGCTGGTATCGATGTTAAACTTTGTGAAGTTGGTGAAGCCATTCAAGAAGTAATGGAATCTTATGAAGTTGAGCTTGATGGTAAAACGTATCCTGTTAAGTCAATTAGAAATCTCAATGGCCATTCGATTGATGCATATAGTAAATATAAATTATTAACAATTTAAATTAATTTAGATTATGAGTGAAGTAAGAGTTGTATATCCAACCAACACATAATTTGGTTGGTTGGATTTTTTCTAATGCTATTTACTAAAATAGCTACTACACTTCAATAAACTACATTAACAGTCCAAATTTGAACCTACACAGCTGATATTTTAAAGTGTGTTGCTCATGTTCTTAGTGGCGAATAAATGTAGAAATTTAAGGAAGTGCAGTATTAAAAAAAATAGATAAAGGCATTTACATTTAGTCAGTACCCTTGACATTGCTTTTTTTATTGAATATTTAAACACAATTGTAACGTACCGACTGTGGTCATAATAATCCAATCAACGGCCTTATGCGTCAAGCTAACTTCATTCTACCATCGGGTTTTAAGCTAACCATTTTAGTTTTTACTGAATTAACATTGTACTAGTGAGTCAAATTTTATTCTATGCATTTTTTATGGCTGCACTTAAGGCCTTGCCCATATTTAATGAACAATACCTGTCCAGCCTGGTTTAGGTCGTTGTAAGTTGAAATATTCTTGACACCTACCTCGAATTTGTATTATTTTTTTTTTACAGGAATACACGCGGGCAAAACTGTACCAATTGTTAAAGGCGGTGAGGCAACTATGATGGAGGAGAACGAGTTCTATGCTATTGAAACATTTGGTTCCACAGGACGTGGTATTGTCCGTGATGATATGGATACATCTCATTATATGAAAAACTTTGATGCTCCATATGTGCCACTACGACTCCAAGCATCACAAAAATTGCTGGGTACAGTCAATAAGAACTTTGGTACATTGGCATTTTGTAAGCGCTGGCTTGATAGGTTGGGCGCAACTAAATATCAAATGGCACTAAAAGACTTATGCGATAAAGGCAAGTTTTTATATTTTCCTAAAACAAAATATACAATTAATATTACTTTATTAATTGAATATAATATTTCATTTTCACAGGAATTCTTGACGCCTATCCACCATTATGTGACATCAAAGGCTGTTATACAGCTCAGTTTGAACACACAATTGTACTTAGACCAACATGCAAGGAAATCATAAGCAAAGGAGATGATTATTAACTCTGAGTAATTTGAGTCAATACAAATATTACGTCGCCAATATTATAACAAATATTATTTAAAATTATAAATTTAAATGTTGTTAAAACCTTTGGTGATAAATTAAATCAATAAATTAAAAAATTAACTTTATATGACGTTATAATATTATAAAAACCTATACAAAAAATTGATGAACTACAAGTCAATTACGCTTAATATTATAATATTATCAATATGTGGATAAAAATAGGTTTATTACTTAATTTATTTATGTTTTCTCATTTTTTTTTTTACATAATATGACTTAGTAGTTATTATTGACTCTTCTGTTGTTCATCATTGGTCAACAATGATTCGGCCATACGCTCGTAGTCATCTAAGCTGAACTGTGTAAGAGAACGGTCAAATTCCTTCATGAATTCTTTTAATACCTTGACCGTATCTTCTGAGCTATAATGTTCTCGTACGTGCTTAGTGATCATTTCTTCTAATTCGTCAGTTTTAATGATTTGCTGTTTAACAATTAAGTTCAATCTGGTACCGTCCTTTATTTGTGGATAATCAACTAATGTTTTTTCATCTATAAATATTAAATATTTTTAAAAAAAAAGAGGTTATCCCTTATCAATAGATTATAAAGTTAAAGAATAATTACCACATAAAGGACGACCGGTAAGCAATAATCTTTGATCTTTAACAGGAACCTTAAGTGCTTCAAATACATGATTTTTTAGCTCTGCTATTGTCATCTCACTTTGAACCTAAAAATTAATGGTTCGCATTAAAATGCAATCAAACAAATTTACTGAATCACAGAACTATTAAATAATTGGCAATTATAAACATTTATATGGATTAATCATATAATTTGAAACTTTTTGTGATATAATTAACTTATAAAATGTATGAGGTCATCCAATATTTGAACTACAAATAACTCAATGCAATCATGACTTATTATTGAGGAACGAAATAGTATACAGAAAAAATAATAATTTTTAATAATTAATCATTTATTTAAAATATTATTTAAATTTCATATACTTAGTAAATATAAAAAAAAAAATTATATAAGTATTTAATGGAGAGTAACTGTTATCATTTACAGTACATATTTTAGTTATACAATAAATGTTATGATATAAAAATAAATTAATGGATTAAAATCATATGAAAACTTGTTGCGAGGCTAGCATGTCTGCGAATGGTTTTACTAGTCCACGAGTAGCAAAATAGAACACAAGTCCAAAAGTTATTGATATAGGTAAAGCGGGCAGAGCTCGTCTAAATATAGCCAATAATAATAGTGTTAAGCATAATCCAATAAGTATAGCCACAAAGCATGCTAATGTGGTATTCCAGTCTCCATAAGACGACGCTTTGCCCACTAAAACGCTGTAGAATATGAAATCTCCTAATCCAAGTTTGACACCTTTATCCTCTTCGTCCATCAGTCTTCTACTAACTCTAACTTCTTCAGTCTGAGGCTGCTGGTGTTCTTCGACCCATGTTCTGGTAAATCCGTTTTGGCTGTCTGTGGTACTATCGACACTATCTGAACGGTTCATCAAGTATACAACTGTAGATGAGTAGATTAGTGCAGGAAATATTTGTTCATTACGCTCCTCGGCCAATTCAACAAGAATACGCAAGGGTCCTCGTGGTGTGAGGACAGCAATCAAGTCCCAAATAGATATAACAAACAGCACAACCCAAGTGGTCCATTCAGGCATGTACTTGATAAACACGAGTGCCATGAGGGCAGCAATGAAGATCAGATAAGACTGCTGGAGTCGCAGTGGGCCTTTCCAGTGTATACATACCATTCCTAGCATACCGATATTCCAGATTATTATAAAAAATGTTATATAATCCATAGGAACGTTATACGTGTGTAAGATTTCCTCGATGTACAGACAAGTAAACATGGACAAGAGAAGCAACGACGACATGATGAGCCACCCGTGAATTAATTTATAACATCGATATTTATACAACGCGATTAGGAACACTGTCATAACGATGACGACGGACATCAGTATCAGCGAATTGGCCACAGCGTTTAGCACTTTAGTCGAAGGCTCGGGACTGGTTTCGTGGAATGGCGTATACACCAGGTAAACGTCTTTGACATTGTAGAACGACACAGAGTTGATCGTGGCCACCACCACCAACATGCACATCGACACGGGTACAAATAGCTTGATGACGTGCTCGGCGCCATACTTGAGTGTTTCTTCTTCTTGGGCCGTCAACGAGTCGCGGCGCGACGTTTCCCTGGGGGCTGCTGCGGCCATGAGCGGAATTGTTTCCCTGCGAGTCGGTGACTTGCTGTTGCTGCTGCTGCTGCTGCTTCTGCTGCTGCTGTCGCGCATCAATAGAACACACAAACAAGGGGAGACGCCAAAGTGTAAGCCTCAATCTACACACACAGATCTAAGCGCGTGTCCTCACTTCCTCAACAATGTAACAGAAAATAACGTATCGTTTAAAAAGCGCCCATACTCACGTCGAAAGAACATTCCTGCCCGTTAAGTATCTTGATGTTGATTTTCATTGTTTCGCGGACCGTGCAACAATCACTGCATTTAAACCGCAAATCAATACTTGATATAAGTAGAGGTAATGTCGCCGTGCTCAAAGCGTCATGTCATGGACATTCGGGGTTCCTGCCTAGTTGAAATACACGATTCGAGCGAAACGGCGCAACTCGATCACGACAATTCCAAGATGGTTATTGAAAATCGAAATATAATTTGTAAAAAAGGCAGCCCGTAGCCTTAGCGGCTGGCTGTCAAGACTCGAGAGTGGGTGATATGAAATAAAACTATACAGTGCAAACAATCATCCAGGATGCATCAGCTATAATAAATTACGACATAATATTATTTTACTGAACGATTTGATCGATTATTGTAAAAATGCGAAAACCAAGGATGTTGTATGCATTTTAGGACTTTACTAAACGGCGGCAAATTTAAACCTATACACTCCTTAGAAATATTATTACCATAATACTATTGTATAATAATATATTTAAACCATTATCATTTATTTATGAACATTATAAACCATATTATTATAATTGAATCAACGTTGTGACATTTTAATATAGGTAGTTATAGTTTGTTGTTACAAAGCATTAACTTAATAATAAAGCAATTTTAAACTAATAATCAAATAATGTATCGGTCTTGCAATGATTATACTATTTTAATTTTTAATTGAAAATATAGTTTTTATTTTATCGTTGCTTTAAAATGTATAATATAATATTAAATAATTTATCATCTATGGGAACATGCAGGGCACCTGCATGCAAACGAATTTTAAGAAGAAAACAAAAATAAGGTGGGTTAGTGTATGTCGCTCAGCTGTACAGTAGGTTACAAGTGGTTCGCCGTAATGGATGATATTAAATTTGAATTCAATGATATAAAATCATTGTATACGAAAACGGAAAAACGATTCTGAGCGTAGACGGTTTGTTAGTCTAGGATATTTTTAAGTACATTGTTATTAATTATTACTTATTATTAATACGGTAGCCGATAAGTTGAATTACTATTATTCCTACAATTACAAAAATACAACTAAAATCGTTATTCTTGGTTATTTAATATGTAATTTCGTTCAAAATTTAACATGAAATAACGATAAAAAAAATTGTGTTTTTATATTTTTTGGTTACAGAATTTAAATTTTCAATCATAAGCTATAAAAGTTGAACATTTTATAAATTTTTAACTACAAAATAGTTATTACATTTTGTCAATATTTGAACTCTTTAAATGAAATAAAAAAAATTGTGACTATGGATTTTTAATATTTTTTTTCTGTATTATATTAGGAGGCCTTATATTAAATTTTCATGCTTTTTTACCCAACAAATAACATTTTACTGAAATTTATAGAAAAAAAACTAAAAAAATCTGTAAACAGTTCAAAACGAATCAGAATATTTTGAAAATGTTATCGTGTACCTAAAGAAAAAGCTTTTATAAACAACCAGTGAAAATTGCACTAAAAACCAAAATCAATTTTGTCAAAAACTTATTTTGAGGAAAAATTCCCGTTTTTCCTTAATTTTTATTTCGTTTTTCCCGGAGCTTTAATTATTGGGAATTTCTTACTTTTTGATATCCCGAATGCACCAACTAGATTCACTTTCCCATCGAACAAGATACTTCCACTAGTTTCGCAGTTTGGAACGGTGATGACGGACACAAACAATTTTAAGATTTAAAATTTAAAAAAAAACACATATTTATTTTGACTCTTCTTTATAATTTAATGACCATTATGGTTATACTCTAAATAAAGCATCTTCAATGTTAAGATTTATAAATAGAGCTTCCTCTGGTTTCAACAATCCAAAAGTATTCAAATCTCTATTGCTCCTTTATTCGGTCGCTACTTGAGTACAACTCTATTGTACGGTATCCTTATGGTATACACATTGGGTCCAGCTACATCCATTGAGGGAATACAGCATCGACTATTAAGTCTATTTGCATTGAAATGTTTGAACTCAACGACAAAATCACAAATCTCACTCACCTTTGCTATCGATAACACATTTAAAAACTTTGGCGGTTAGAAGACTTAAATCTCATCTTTGTTTTATTTTCAAGCTATTTAAAGGTATTTTTAATTGCTCTGAACCACGATTAAAGATAGAATGGTTGCACAACGAACTATGATAAGAAACAATTTAATGATGCTCATAGTTTCTTTTATTATCAACGATACTCTAGAAACTTTTACTAGCGCTCATAGGGTATAAATTATGTACTACGCATCAGAAATCAAGATTCTTCTGTAATAATATGCACATTTATTTTCCCGCGAAAATGCAAAAAAAGTACATACACGATTAAAAATACGATATTTTCAACGATTTTTACATTCGTGATTACATGGTACATACTACCTATGTAATTTTAATTGTAAAGTTTGGTTTAAAGTCACATCCTAATAAAAATTTATTTCTCATTCTGAGAAGTTTAGAGTTAAGTTTTGTGAAACATGCTGGCTCTATTGATGTGTTTAATGAAACATTGTCATATTTTCTAAGTACTAATAATCCTTTGACATTTGAATGTTACGTGCACCAAACTGATATTCTCACAGATATATGTAGCACATTTGTTATAATGAGAATGAGACAGTATACATATTATATTAAAAAACTAAATAAAACTAAAAAAAAATTATCAAAACTCGTAGGTAGTTAACTTAAATTATAATTTACACTGAAAGGGAAGTATATATATTATACTTTATTTAATCATCAAAAATATATTATTAATATTGTTTAAATATAATTATTATTTATTAAAAAATAAAAATTATGTAATGTACCCAACAACACAATATTATAATTTATAAAATATAAATTTATTATTTGTTATTCCGTATTTTATTTTTTATAACGTAAATTCATGACACGATTAAAAATAGTATATTATCAATTATTATTCAATATTTAAACGCTAGGAGCGCTAATGCTCGGTTCTGCTAGTCGTTGTGATAACAAGGAAACTCTGAGAAACACTTTATTATAGGTCGTTGTGCAACCATACTATCTTTAATCGTGCTCTGAACTATTACTTAATACATTTAACTTATTTGTTCATTCGGGGTGCTGCCATTGGGTGACTTCCCCCTCCCGTCAATCAAACCACATCAAATGTATTTATTGTATAACGTGTAAATACAGATTGTACTTAAATATAAATGATTGTTCAATAAAAAAAAAAAAACTTCTGTGTTCCAGATTGTCGAACTAGGCAACCTGTTACGTTTTATGTGCCATTTCGTCGTTCCAACTACTCTCAAAACGCTCAGATAGCCCTAGATCGTCCTATATTAATGGGCCATGTGAATAGATAGGCTACAACTCAACTTATTTTGTAAAGATAATTGGCCAGATTTATAGACGATACTTAGAAAAATTTTAGTATTATCTCAACTAAAACTAGAAATTGGTATTTATAAATCAGACTTATGATATTTACTAAGAATTATCTTAGTTATATTTTAACTTAAATAAATCTTAAGTTTTGGTATTTATAAATGGTACTTTGAACAATTTTAAGAAAAATTTGAGTAAAAATTAAGAAATATCTAAGGTACCTACTAACCATGCTTAACAGTCACTCAACAGACACAAAATTAATAACTTGGTATAAAATAGTTACTTTTATACTATTAAATTGTTGTTCGATCTTTTATAAAAAGTTGATAATTTTGTTTAATTTATTTTTTACTATTTTAAAATGGATATTAATTATCTTGATTATCTTGATGATGACTTAAACTATGATTGGCTAGAACAAACTATTCGTGTTCCTAAACGATATTTACGTGATATGCAAAACTCCATTGAAGGGTAAGTAATTTTGAAATATTTTTTAATAATTCCCCTTTACAAATATTTATTAGTAAACATTACTAGATTTTCAGATTTGCAAATTTTCCAACGGTTTAGGTTTCCAAAATATATTGTGTTAGAAATAATTTTACCTATGATATAGGTACTTGGATAATATGGATTGCAATTTTGATAGACGTGGGTTAAAAATCGATAATATTACAAAAGTGTTAATTGCCCTACGTTTCTATGCAAGTGGAAATGACCAAGTATTTGAATGCAATTTAAATGAGTAATTATGGTAAGATTATTGTTAATTTAATTTTATTGTTTTATAGAGAGTCAATGGAGATACATTAGGATATTCACAAGCTTCGGTTTCTATTGTAGTTAAAGAAGTATCGGGATTACAAGCTAAGTGTGGAAAAAAATGGATTCGATTTCCATCAAATTTACAAGACACTAAGGAACAATTTTATTTAATTGGTGAATTTCCTGGTGTAATTGGAGCTATAGATTGTACACATGTCCCTATTAAAAGTCCCGGAGGCAACAACGCAGAAATGCATAGAAATCGAAAAGGATGGTTGTCATTAAATGTTCAAATTGTTTGTGGTCCTAAAATGCAAATTTTTGACATAGTCTGCAGATGGCCAGGTTCAAACTAATGTAATTAATAAGAAATCGTATTAGCAATATTTGATATTATTATCACAGATAAGTCAGCTAATCTGTGGCAATAAAATATTAATTATGCTGATAACAATAAAATTATATATAATCTCCTGAACATTTTGCTTTTAAGAAATATTTTTACTTGAAATATTCTTAGAAAAATCTTAGCTAAGAAATAACTTAGTACCCTTTATAAATACCACTTGTGAGTTAGTGAAAAATATTTACTTAGCAAAGTTGAATATAAGTAAAATATTAGTATCGTCTATAAATTTGGCCAAATATTTCACTTTTTAATATTTATCTTGCTAATGTCATAAATAA